TGTGTGTGTGTGTGTGTGTGTGTGTGTGTGTGTGTGTGTGTGTGTGTGTGTGTGTGTGTGTGTGTGTGTGCAGTTAGGCCTGGGTCTGGGTAATGGACGATGGTGGGTTTCACGATAAAAGCAAGGTTGAGGTATGAAAATTACACAGAAACTGGACTGAAGATCAGAGGAACGGGTCTGAAGATGAATGGTTCCAATGGTTCAAAACATCGTACGAAGGAGGTCAGGAGAGAGGCCCAGCAGTGAGTCTACAGCCATCTGTGACACACGGTGGAGGCTCTGTCATGGTTTGGTGCTGCGTTCCAGACAGTGATGTCGGAGATCTTTGTTTAAACTGTTTGTCATGTTTGTCAGTTTAATGTGAAGATGACAATGCTGCAGGCACATTTCAGGCATGGTTGAGTTTCACTCACCAAACCAACCATCAGACCTAAAGCTACTATTGAAATGTTAGCCTCCATGAATAAAAGAACAGAAAGGGTGGATTTCCTTCCTTGATTGAGTCTTTTTATGGTCTGCTGTGACATGAGAGTGAAAAGGCTATGCTGACATGTTCCAGATCCAGGTTTTTGTACACCTGGATCACTGTCTTTACCTTACAGTTGATAGTAATGGGTCTTAAAGTACAGTGAACGGCTATTTAGTTTTAAATATACTTTGAAAAAAACCCTCAGGTGATTTTGTGGAGACTCTCTGCATTGTTAGTTGTGATGATCTGACTGCTTCCTCTGGAAAACTCTGGCTTACTTATAATAAACCATCGTTGCATTTATAGCTGCTTCAGAAACACTGCTGTGTAGTTACTGATGATGATGATGAACCGATGGCGGCTTTCTCACCTTCAGTGACAGTCTCCACTCTCCGGGCCGTGAGCAGGTCAATCAGCAGAGTTACTCTTGAAGAATCAAAGATATAGCCAGGGCTGGCAAAGCGGTCCAGAGCATCCTGTGTCGCACCTGCGTCCATCCCCACAATAATTACCCCCTCGTCTTTCAGAGTTTCAGCGGACCAAAACACAGGATCATCCGAGTCTTTTCCAGCCACTACAACCAAATACTGTGGGGTTCCCTGTTGTGCGCGGCCTCCTGCCTCAGCAGTGAAGAAATTCTCTTTAGCGTAGGACAGAGCTTGTCCAAGATTTTGTGGTTGGCCAGTTTGTGAACGCAGTCGGAAACGTCGAGCAGCGCCCACGATCTGCTGCTTGGTTTGATAAGTGTTGAGACGAAAGTCAACTCTGACGTCCTGACCGTACTGGGCCAAGCCGACACGGTAACCAGACGCTCCAACTTCCAGTCGATTCAACAGTCTGAAAAGCTCATTTCTAAACAGGGTAAACTGATTGGAAGCTATTCCACTGTCCACCAGGAAGAAAACATCTGCAAACCTGTCGACCAAAGCTGAAGAAGACAGAAGCAAAAGTGTTTTAGTACAAGTTCATGTTCAGTATACATGCGCTCATGTGATCTACTACCTGTCATGAACTGGCTGTGCGCAGGCTGGAGAGGACCCAAATGCGAACTCTCGGAAGAGAGGACGTGAACTCAAAATATAACTTTATTTTCTGAACGGAAAAAGGCAATACAAAACTAAACTGGGAAATTCTACTAATACTAGACCCAGGAAAACAGGGAGAGGTACACGACCATGAGGGAGGATGTGACATGGAACTGAGGGAGACGCTGACATAATTACACAGAAGACAGCGAGGGACGTGGGAGCACACGGGGAACACATTTGAGACCAATATTCATAACAAGACAGGGGAAGAGCGAACAGAGCATGACGTACAGCGACAGGAGACCATCAATGTAAAACGGGAAGCACACAGAGACGCAGACTGGAGGGGAGAGAGAGCACAGAGGAGCACGAGAGAGAGAGGACAAGACGAGCTGGGGAACATAGAAAAACATGACAAAATCAAACAAGGAGAAACACGGCACAAGCACTCATACAACTAAATGAATATACACAGAAGGAGACACAGGAGTCAAGACACGAGGGGAATCTGAAAGGTTAAACAGAACAACCTAGGTTCTATAGAATAAACACAAGGAACCTAAAACATAAATAATAACACCAAATGACGAAAAACGCAAGTGAACACAAAGCACTGGGTCAACAGACCCAGGACCATGACACTACCTCACAGTGCTCAGAGGCACAGCTGAGGATGGACCAAGCACAATGTGCATTTTCAGCTTTCTGTTGATTCTTGTGTCAAAACTGTATTCAGGTGCTTCTTAGATATAATTAATCGTGCAATAAAGAGATCACTGTATCAACCAATCAGCTTTCTTTACCTAGCGTCTGATCCTCCAGACTGAGACAGACCGTTTTCAGCAGGCTGTTGGTCTGATCCTGGAGCTTCTGGTAGCTGACAGTGGTGAGGACGAAGCGCTCCGAGGGCCAGTTAGCGATGGTTATAAGCTGTGTCCTGTTGATCTCTCCGACCCCGATGGCGAACACGATGACACCGTGCTGCCTCAGACTCCTGGCAGGTTCCAATACGTCATCTGTGGATTCGCCATCTGTGATGACCACAGCAATCTGAGGCACACGGCGCTCGGCTCGGCTGCCGGCCTCTTTGGTGAAGTACTCCGTCCGGAGGAAGTCTATGGCTTTGCCGGTTTCTGTGCCGCCTCCTCGATGGGCAAGGTTTTCCACTGCAGCCAGCAGGGAATTCTTGTCCCTGTGATCCGTCAGCTGGAACTCCGGATAAGGATCATCGCTGTACTGCACCAAACCGATCTGAACTTTGTCGGGGTCGATTTCAAAGCCCTGGATGGTTTTGCGGAGAAATGTGCGGATCTCCTGAAAGCTTTTATCATTGATGCTGGACGAGCCATCAACTAGGAAGACGATGTCACCGACGGTGACATTTTCACACTCTGGATAGCAGCAAAAGAAAATCAGTGTTCATACACAAGTATTACAGGAAGATGACACAAAGTCCCAGAATAACATTATCAACTAAGGTCCATTAATTGTGATGAACTCATGAAACAAATGTTCTGTCTCCTGTTCTCTACTATTAATCCCACTAACCCTCTACGGCACAGCTATGAGCTCACCGAGGAATCAAATAGTCATGATTTGTTTTTGATTTTTTGCTGCTTACTATTGGATGCTATACCATTGTGAAAAACGGAAAAATATCACACGTTAATGGAGTAAACAGAAATATATCAGCAGAAAAATGAATTAAATTGGTGTCTCAATTCCTTTAGAAAGGATAAAATAGACTTTTTAGTCTGGAAGCAACACCGTGCCACTGAGAGTTAACAGTTTGTCTTTGAAAGCAATCACATGAAATGTACAAAAGCACATGAGCACCTGGATTATCCTGTATCTAAACTCAGGTTTCAAAGACACAGCCCGGCATGCTGCGTTCAAGTACCGACCTCTGACTGTCTGAGCAGCGACGCCACAGAAGAGTGCCGCCGTGATGAGGCTGAAGAGAAGACCTGCCCTCCCCGTCATGTTGGGACCGCTCATGTAGTTCTCTCCTCCTACACCAGCAACAAGACGGAAAGAGTGCCAACAACATTGTAGACATTATAAACTACGTGAACTTGCTTTCACGCATAATGACGTGACTTTATTTTTTAACCAGTTCATTTCACAAAGTCTAGTCGTTTGTCCAGATGAAGCTTTGCAAACCTAAGCCGTACTGCCGTGCACGTTTTTGGAGCGAACGTTCTCCTGTGACTCTGCCCACGGGCGGATCTACAGGGCTAGCATGGGGTGGCATGTGCCTCCCTAAAATAATAATAAGCTAGCATTAACACTTTGAGCCTAGCTACAATTAACAGTTAATGTGAACTCTAAAACAGAACATATTACAAAGTGAGCCCCTCCCCCCCACCCCTCCACCAATGAAACGGTTCCTCCTGTAGCTCGGGACCAACTTTACATCTTTATGTCAGTAACAGGTTGTTGAGGTTGTCCCAGAGCGCATTTGAATCAACACCGTGGGCATTTCCAGATTTCACACACGAGGTTTATTGTTCCAGTCTGGAAATGGAATGAAGGTTATTGCTGTTAACGCCGGCGCCTCCAAATCACATGACCGATGTATAGGCTGTGGAGCGTGATGTCACGGGAGGGGGTGTGACCAGGATTTTTGGTTGAGGCGCCATATTTCTGGGCCAAACAAAGCGCTAGCGAAAGAGGAGAGAAAGCACACGGTTAACACGTACTTGCTGTGTGGTCGTAACGTCAGACGCACAACCGGCAGGAGAATAAGCTTGAAAATAGTTTATCTTTTCATTGTTTCCCCACCTGGAAGCATCATGAGGGTAGTTTTATTTGCAATGTGATCTGGGGTCATAACAAATTAGAACAAACATCCTAATGAGTGATTTTGCAGAACTATGTTCTATTTATAGAGTTGCTATTTGGCATTATTGCAGAAAAACTTGCCAATGAAATGGATGAAACACATCGTGACTGGTTTCCAGCGCTACACACGGGCACTCTGAAATCCCGGCTTCAAACGTACCACCATGCCAATCAGATTACTTCTTCCATGTGAGGGTGAAGACGGGACCCTCCTGGGTAAGATGGTGAAGGTTTGCTGTGTCTGCTGAACAGTCTGGTAGTAAAACCAGGCGCAAATGAAACTTGCTCTTGTTAAATACTCTTAAAAGTCTTGTGCTGTAAATACCGGCAATTTTTCAAAAGATACATTAAACCGAGTAGTGTTAGTGGTGGGTGATATTATGTAATTTGAAAAATGTGTTTCTTTATTCAACAAACGTGGATGTGTCCCTCCAGAGGTTTATAATTGTGAAACTGGTTCACCTTGTACGCGCTGACTCCACAGACAAGATAAGAAAATATATCAGGCTGAGTGACTAGCGGTTGGTCTTCAGGGTTTCTACTCCACGGCTGTACTTCATACGGGTCCACATTTCCAGTGCTCGATATTTTTGGCAAATACCGTCTCTTTGCATCTGGACACAATCTGTCTCTGTACCGTCCTTTTTCTTTTGAGCTGCTTTTAAGCATGTTTCTAACAACCTTTCTTCCAGCTCACGCCAGAAATATGGTGCCACGCTCCCACAATACATTGTGCCGATACGTCAGTTCCAAAGCTCTATACTTACTGCTTTGATGTATTGTAACCATATATGTACAATGCACATTACAGGACGTAACAGTAGGTGTAAAAGAAATGGCTTTGGTTTCCATGCCACCCTGAGAAATCTTCTGTAGTTTTCTAATTCTACTGTTATGAACTTTAACCTTTACCATGCTGAGGCCTGTCCACCTGACCTCCTATGTCAGGCGTTACCGAGCACTGGTTAAAGTTTTTTTTGGTGTTTAGGGCAAATAAAAAAGGTTCGCTCGAGTCAGAGAATAATCTGAAATGCAAAGATGAGTTAGTTATAACACAGACAACACAAGAACCAACATTTTTATATTCTGCCAGTTAGAAATATTTCTTTGATTTTTAATCATTCTAAAACACTCAAATCAGAATCGTTAATCAATTCTATGAAATACTGAAGAATTTCAAAAATAAATAATAAATAAAAAGACAGAAGTCAAACCTCATTCATTCTGAAAATGCAAGCTCGCGCAAACGTACTGTGACAAAATGTCGAGAAAGAAAAGTAAATATAATATTTTGAATTTATTCTTAAAATTATTATTAACAACAGATTCTGGAGAAAAGGAGTGAGATTAGAGATCTAAAATCCAGTTTCAACCTTTTTCATGAAATATAAACTTTGATTAAATGCTAAAGCAAATAAAAAGCAAAAGTATTGTTGTGATATTTTGATACCATGATAGCATTTACAGGATATTGTTTTATAGTGATATCATACATGAAACTGTTACTCAATAAGGCCCATTTACTAGTTGTTTTTCTCTTTCTCTGTGACCCAAGAATTAATGTGTAAGACTCACAGGCTGGTACCCCAAGGTCGAAAACACCACAGAGACGAGACCACTTCCTTACTCCCATCCTCCCTTTTTCTTTATCTCTTAGAAAAGGCTCGTTAAAGGCCAGGTGGTTTGTGTCAGAATTCACTAATGAAAGAACTCTGTATTCTATGTCTAGGAGTGTATTTTGCTGGGATGATCATAATTTGTAGCTGAACTGATAAACTACACAAAGGATACTTCTTTAGGCAGGAAGACGTTTCCTTATTTGGTCTGTACCGGTCTGAACTGAGAATCTGCTGACACACGAACCTTTTTTCTCTCTATATAAGCTGTTGTATACTTAATAAACCTTTGAGTCGATTGGGAAGGCAACCTAAAGCAGTCTCTGTTCTCTTGTTCTCCCAAGCTGCTCCCGAGCTCGTACTAACACGCTGAATGGCATACCTGAGTGTTACTTTAAATAATTAGGAATCTTAGAAGGAAAGGACAGAACTCTGCTTATCGGTGCTCGTGCCTTGGAGGGAAAACCGGGATGGACATTTTTTCCTTCAAGTATAAGAAAGTAATAACATTATTTAAACATTTCTCGATGCATGCTTAGTCATCCAGGTAAGTAACTCTCCAAAAGTTGATTCTGTTCATCTGGACGGAGCATTTTCAGTGGAAATTATGCACATTTGCATAATCATGATGAAGGAACTGCCTCCCAGCCCATTGTCCCTCAGTGGGCTGTTTCAGTCATTATGCAAATGTATGTTTATAAGATTGAAAACTCCAGTCAGCTGAGACTGAAGACGTCACCTGGATGGTGACGAAACGTTTCTCCCACAAAACGCTGCGTCCAGATGAACAGAATCAGCCTTTGGAGATTATTTAAATATTCTTTTTTAAATATGGCCCTGGTACTCCTTCGTAGGCAGAATGAGTTTTTACACATGAGCTGATGAACATAAGAACACACAGGCTGCATCTCTGTAGCTCATCAACAAACACCATCACACGCAGTCACCACAAAAGCCCGCTGAGGTAAAACAGCACGTCTTAATTCTCTAAGCCAAGGGTCAAAGTTCAGTCCTCGAGGGCCACATGTGCTTGCTGCGACGCGCCTGAATAAAATCAGTAGCAAGACTGTAGAACCTGACTGCATGCTGACGTTGCAACCCTACTCAGGTTAATTTGATTAAATGTTTGGAAAAATATACTTTTACTGCACTGTGTTCATTCACTCATGAGCTGCTGTAACATGAATCAAATGGCTGAATTGCACCTCAGCATTAGGGCTGGGTTTTGATAATCGATTTATTGATTAAAAATCGATTCTGGCTTGGATAACGTAAAATCTATTCATTAAAAT